TTCGTTCTGCTGTGCATGGGGTTGCTATGAGTTGGAAACAACTCGACGGCACTTAACAACAATAACAACAACAATATCAAAATTGATTACTATGTATTATATTTTTATAATAATAAGCCAATCAGTTAAGTATAGAATATATTTTAAGTTTTCTCACAAATGTTTTGATTTTTCCAGGGGAAATTGTCGTGTGTTTCATTCTGTGCCTGTATTGATTTCAATGTTTCCAAAAGTTTGGTCTGAATGTTAAAGAGCTTCACATTGCCTTAACACGAGAAACAAAGGCAAAGCAAGAAGATGGAACATGTTTGATGTATAAGAAAAATGTCAAGAACTTCTTGTCAGTACTATTGTTATTCTATGATTTCAGGGCCTGGGCACATCTGCACGTGAGGGTAATTAAGACAGTAGACTTCAAGAATTTTCATGGCAACGGTGGAGAGACGGAAACCAACACTCCCATGAGCACAAACCCTAAATCCCCAATGTCTGTTCTGCAGTTTGAGAGAAAAGACAGCCCTAGCATGGCTAGAAATGGAAGTTGTTTTCTAGTCAGGCACACTCCTCATCCCAGAAGGGTCTGCCACATAAAAGGTAAGATGATTCAAGGATCTGAAATGTGTCTCCTCATCTACACTCAGGCTATTTGATGATTGCAGTCTATTAACACAGAGCTGCTATCAAAATACTTAACCATTGGTAAGGAATTGTGTGAATTGACTTGATGGCAGGCACTGATTATGGGGACCAGGTGCCAGCAGGGGGTCTAGAGCAGAGGACTGTAGGCCCATTCCTGCCAGACATGAACCACTGGATTGCTAAAAATCATTAGTGCCAGGAGAGGAGGTCGAGTAGCCACACAGGGTCCTCAGGGAAACAGTTATTTTATCAATTGGTATGAAAATATTTTAATATTTTAACAACTGACAGAGCCACGTCAGCATCTATGTGTCAAATATCAGCTCTGTTGTTGTTGTTGTTTGCCATCAAGTCGGACCTGACTCCACAGTGACCCCTCCTTGGGATTCTGAGGTGGTATCAGTACAGAAGTATATTGCCCAACCTTCCTTGCGAGGAGTGGCTGGTGGGTTTGAACTGCCAGCCTTCTGTTAGCAGTCAAGTGCTTTAGGCACTACACCATCAGCTCTGGAGCAGCATATACCCTTATTCCCTCTCTCCCTCTTCCTCCTCTCTTTTTTCCCTTCTTCCTTCCTCCTCTCTTCCTTCCATCCTCCTTTTTTTTTTTTTTTTCTTTTTCACTTTATGCAGTAAACTTGGAAGTTAAAGTAGACATCAACGGTAGTAGCTCCCTTTTGAGAGAGGCAATTCAATTTAGTTTGGAATGAAGAGTAAAAGAAGTGTACACAGTTCGCACATGTTTTTGGCTGAGAAAACAAACACCATACAACTAGAAGGCAGAAAGGTAACGATGTTGAGAGGCAGACTTATGAAGCTTATGAAGTGCATGGGAAGCAATCAAAACTGTTTGGACTGGATGGGGGGAACCAGCCAATTTCCTAGGATGGTGTAAATATGTGGTATTCTCCTAGAAGAACATGTAAAAATTACCCATTGGGATTAATCAAAATACACCCTCATGCTCATCCCTGACAATATTATTCCTAAGGGAGAGGTATCACTTATAAAATTAGAATCACTACCATAGTGACTCCCACAATGTAAATGTGTCATATTCCTGAGGCATGTTAGAACAGAAAAAATGAAATTGAAAATCACTATCATGATAAAAATGAGCCACCTTTTGATGGGAGAAGGGAAAATCCTCGAGAAATAGAAGAGAAAGAGGAGGCTGCCACACCTGTCCAGACAGGTAAGGACAAGCAACCCTACTATACTGCCAGCCACGGAATTAAACAATGGCCAAAAACAAGGCTTTAGGCAGTTTGTAGGGAAAAATTAAGTTTCTGATAACTGAGCACAGAGCAAGGAAAAAAGGAACAAATCCAGAAAGAACATCCTCTTTACCCCCGTCTTAGTTCTCTATTGCTCCTACAACAAAAATGCCACAAGTGTATGACTTTAACAAACAGAAATTTATTCTCATATAGTTTAGGAGGCTAGTAGTCCAGAGTGCTGGCTCTAGGAGAGGACTTTCTCTGTGTCTTTTGTTCCTAGGAGTATGTCAGCTGAGCTCCACTCCTGGCTTCTTTCTTGGTGGTAGTAAGTCCTCCTTTCTTTGCTCCCTTCTTTCTCCTTTCATCTCTTGTAAGATAGAAGGTGTTGCAGGCCAAGGCCTAGGGAAGCTCCCCCTACATTGGATCAGGACTATGATGGGGCTAAGGATGTCACAACTCACCTTTAATCTTAATTCTTTTACACCTGATCAGATCACATTATGGAGTATCATTACATATCTGCCACATTACATCATTCCATAACTTCTAAAGCACTGAGAAATCCTAGCCCAGGCAAGTTGATGCAGATTTTGAAGGGACACAATTCAATCCATGACAACCCCCTCTCCCACCCCTAGTTATCATGTCTCTGCCTAAATGAATGAGTTGCTTTCTGATGAAACAGAAACTGAAGAGGGAGAAGGTGAAGTCATTGCATTCAGAATGTATTCAATCTGTCAGAATTTATTTGATCTGTAATACACATCAGCCTCTCTCCTAGACGTGAGGGACAGTGAAGACAAAAAAACCCCTACCCTCATCTACCTTAAATTCTAGCCAGGCAGAATCATACAATAAATAAATTCATTCAATGGTGGACATACTACATGTGTCATGACACCAGACACTCAAATGGAAATGAATTGTCTGTAAGTGGGAATCTGAATCTGGATTGTAAATGCCAGGTCAGGAATATAGATGTATGTTTGCGAGTCATCAATACAGAAGTGATATTTAAAGGTATTAATATTGATCATGTCTTTATTCATCCAGTTATCTATCCACCCACTCATTCATTCAACAAACATTTATTGGGAGAGATTATAGGCAAGAGTGCCTCAGCTGGGTGGTCAAGGTACTCACTAACTATGTGATCTTTATAAGCTCTTGGTGCTGCAGTTCCTTCATCTGTAAAATGGCAAGAATAATAATACCTCACAGTTAAACATATGAAGAAGGGAGGCAAAGGGAACAGCAATTACAAGCACAGAATAGAACGTTGTTGTTGTTGTTGTTGTTATTTGCCATCGAGTCGGCCCCGATTCATAGAACATTAGTAAACTGTGAATATGAGGATTGAGATGCCTGTTAAGGAGCATGTGGGGAGTAGGGAAGGAATAATGAAAATGAAGGTGAAGTGTGGATAAGGGGTCACATTCAGAAGTGCTCTACATATCATGTAAAGGAATTTACATCCCTTCATAGCTAGAAGAAATATCTACACTTGTGATTTTCACTTTCTCACCGCCAAGCCTCACTTCTATCCATTCCAGCCTGGCCTTTTCACTCACCATTCCATATAAACTACAGTTGCTAAGCTTACCACTATCCTCAATTTTAACAAATTCAAGGAGCACCCATCAGTAAGGGTTCTCTCATGGTTGCAAGGGTCAGAAAAATTCAAACTGGCTTCTACAACAAAGGATGGTTGGCTCAAGGAATTGGATAGCCCAGCAGTTAGTGAGCTCCCAGTTTGACTTGACTTGATGGCTCCTCTCTCTACTCTGTGTTTCCCAGTGTCAGCCTCATCCTGGAGCTGACTTGTTTTCTAATAGGGGCAATGTAGTTACTTCAGTTTTTAGCTTTACATCTTTATCCATACTGGCTTCTTCACTTCAGATTCCAGCAAAAACCCATCAAATCACAAGCCCATCTCTGAACAAATCACTGAGGCCAGAAAAATGGCATGCCTGGATTAATAGATCATGGTTCAGATAACCAATCACCATGGCAAAGGTAACGCATTCAACCTTTCCCAAAGCACATGGCTGCATGAGCTCTAGAGGGGTAGATGATGAAAGGATAGTAGAACAAAATATCTGGTTACTATTAGTAAAGGGAAGGAAGGAAAGGATATTTACTGGGCAGAAGTGACAAATATCCACTACCGTTGTTGTTAATTGCTGTTGAGTTGACTTTGACTCATGGCTATCCATGTATAAGAGCCTGGTTCCGTGCTATCTTCATGATCAATTGTATGCTCTAATCCATCTTTGTGGCCACTGTGTATTTTGAGTGCCCTCCAACCTCAGGGGCTCATTTTCCAGCACTATATTGGATAATATTTTGCTGTCATCCATATGATTTTCACTGGAAAAGCCCTGGTGGCACAGTGGTTAAGCACTCAGCTGCTAACCAGAAGGTCAGTGGTTCAAACCCACCACCTACTTCACAGGAGAAATATGTGGCAGCCAGATAAGACTGGGCAATCTACTTCCGTAAAGATTTACTGCCTTGGAAACCCAAAGGGGGTCACTATGAGTCGGAATCCACTCAATGGCAGTGAGGTTTTCTTTCTTTCTTATTTTTTCTTTTTTTTTTTCCAGCTTCTGTAAAGATTACAGCCTTGGAAACCTTATGGGGCACTTCTACTCTGTCCTATGCAGTCACTGTGTCAGAATTGACTTGATGGCAATAGACTTGGTTTGAGTTTAATTTTCAAAAGTAGGTCACTAGGTCTTTCTTCCTAGACTGTCTTAGTCTGGAAGCTCTGTTGAAACCTGTCTACCATGGATATTTGAAATTCCAGTTGCATAGCTTCCAGCATAATAGCAACACACAGCCACCCCAGTATGACAGATTGACAGATGGTGGATGCTGTTGAGCTGATTCCTACTCAAGTGACCTCATATGTGTCAGAGTAGGATTGTGCTCTTCAGGATTTCCAGTGGCCAATATTTCAAAAGTAAACTCCCCAAAGCATTTCTGGGTGTACTTGAACCTCCAACTTCCAACCTTTTGGTTAGCAGCTAAACATGTTAACCATTTGTTTACACCACTCAGGGACTTCATATCCATTATCCAAAACAACACTAACAAAAATAACAGTTGATGTCAAGGTAAGTCTGATTCATAGTGATCTGAAAAAAACCTAATCTGGTTATTTGGTCTTTGTTCTTTGCTCACTCAGGTTTGAATAACATCCCTATATGTACTGTGAATGATGATGAGAATTCATTCAGAACATTCTGTGGTTCTGGCTACTTAGAGAAGGATGAGGCACCATTTGCCAGAGGCAGTAACTCACCCAGCACCGCAGGCCTGGAAATCCCTGTCAGAGAAGTCTCACCTGCTTTGCACACTGTGAAGATGCCCCCACGGCCTCATTCTGGTGAGTGCCCCAATTGATTAAATGTTTCCTCAGACCTCCTTCAAACAACTAAACCCAAACCCAAACAAACCCACTGCCATTGAGTCAATTGCAATTCATAGAGACCCTGTAGGACAGAGTAGAACAACCTTATAGGGTTCCCAAACGTTATAACTCTTTACGGAAGCCAACTGCCTCCTCTTTCACCCACAGAGCAGCTGGTGGGTTGGAACCTTTTGGATAGCAGCCAAATGCTTTAACCACTGCACACCAGAGCACCATTCAAACAACTAGGGAGTGTAAATTTATAGGAGCTCTGGTGGCGTAGTGCCTAAGGCATTTGACTGCTAGCCAGAAGGCTGGAGGTTCAAACCCACCAGCCACTCCCTGGAAGGGAAGCTTGGACAATCTACTTCCATAGTGACACCGCCTTGGAAACCCAAGGAGGGGTTGCTATGAGTCGATCCAACTCAATGGTGCGTAATCGCTAATATAGCTGCAGTAATTTTTAAATAACTGCTCACTACTTGGAGAGAGCCAACTTTTCAATTTATATTTTTTGTATCTTTGTTCAGCTAAACATAATGAATTCAGTTAATACTGAAAACATGCACAAACTATTTTTACCTTTAAAAATATTATTGTGTGGCTTAAGTAAAAGAGATAACTTCACTTACACAGAATATATCTTTAAATCAATGTAAAGGGAAATTAAACAAAACTTTAAGTGGTTTCAAGGTAATTTAGGGGGATGTGGGAGACCCTGGGTGGTGCAGTTAACTCTTGTCTGCTAACAGAAAGGTTGGCTGATGGAGTCCACCCAGAGGGAACTTGGAAGAAAGACCTGGTGAGCTATTTCTGAATAATCCATTGACAACTCATTGGGTCACCATGCGTAGGAATTGATTTGATGGCAATTTTTTTTTTTTAAGTTAAATGATTCTGAAATATGTAAAGTTGAGAGGCTGATGAAACAAGAAAGAAAAGAAGAAAACATAATTATAACCTGACACCTTCTCATTTTGTTGAAAGGGCAAACAACATACATAAAATCTTTTTAATTAGAGAAAGTGACAGTTATATTGATAGGGAACTAAGAAAAACCTGGGGTATACTGAAATACATACTTTTAAAATCAGTTTAACCAGATGAAGAAAGCACTTGTAGTGTTTTTTTATATCATCTTCCTGGGCATAGAATTAGTTTCATAATTTAAATGTACTTTTATTATGTTAAAGCACTCTGTTGGCATAGTGGGTAAGACATTTGGCTGCTAACCATGAGGTCAGCAGTTCAAATCCACCAGCTGCTCCATGAGAGGAAGATGAGGCAATGTACTTCCATAAAATTGGAAACCCAAGGTAGGGGTTGCTATGAGTTGTAACTGACTTTATGGTAGTGGTTTTTTTTTTTTTTTTTCATTATAATTTTTATGTTACTGTAATGTAATTCTACCTATGAGTTTCCTAATATTTATAAGCAGATTTCTAAGTTATCCTTAATTTAAATTCAGATGTATTCTCATCTTTCAGCAACTAGCATATTATGTCATGTGATGGTAATTTTTTTTCAATTTAATCTAAATCTATTTTTCACTCCATCTCATTTCAGAGCCCTATAAAAAAGTCAAGGAGTGCTTCAAAACTTCCAGTGAGAATCCTTTAGTAATTAAAAAGGTAAAGAAATAGCTATATGCAGCTATCCATTTAGCTTTAAAGGAGATCTGGTGGTACACTGCCTAAGACATTTGACTGCTAACCAGAAGGTTGGTGGTTCAAAGCCACCAGCCATATTCGGAAGGAAAACTGGGGTGGGGGTGGGAGACACACCATAACAGAAACCCAATGGGTATAGTTATGTATTGGAATCGACTTGATAGCAATGTTTTTTTTTTTTTTAATTTAGCTTTACTTCCATTATTTCCTTTGCTTTTTCTCACATTGTCACAACTTTTTTTGAAAAGTCACTGTTTTATTATATATATATATATATACAATAATATATATATAATATTATGTATTATATATAACATTTTATTAATGTATGTATGTGTGTGTGTATGTGTGTATATATAAAAAACTTTTTATTAATGTATGTTGTGTGCCATCAAGTCCATTCCAACTCATAGTGGCCCTATAAGACAGAGTAGAACTGTGTTTCCTAGTCTATAATCTTTATGAGAGCAGGTTGTCACATCTTTCTCCTGTGGAGCAGCTGTTAGGGTTGAACCACCATCCTTCCCACTAGCAGCCAACCACTTAAGTATTGCGCCACCAGAGCTCCTTATTAAGGTACAGATTGCACATATTTAAAATGTACAATTTGATGAGTTTTGACACATTCACAAAACTATCACCAAAATCAGAAGAATGAAGATATTCATCACTCCTGAAAGTTTTTCATGATTCTTTGTCATCTCTCCTTCCCTACTCTGCCCCTCCTCCACCAGCATCCATCTGCTTTCTGTCATTATAGATTTGCACACAATTTTTACAATTTAATATAAATGAAATCAGAGTGAGTTATTTTATTTTATTTATTTATTTTTTTGTTTTCTTTAACTCAGCACAATTAGCATCTAAATACAATATAGTTTTATTTTCAACAAAACGTTAACAGTTAAAATTTTTTTCATCACAGTTTCAGGTTGCTGATTCATTAAGATACTAACTTCTTTGTGTCCTTATCACTCACTTCTGAAAGTTAAACAGCCTTTCCTGGAGCAGGCACACAGATCTAAGGCTTCTATAACTCCTCTTGGACTTAATGCCCCCACAATTTTTTTTTTTCATTATTATTACTACAAGTATTATATTTATCTCCCAGAACAAGAAAATGCCCTTTTGATTTCTTCTTCCAACTAAAAATTGCTAAGCAAGTAATCTAGTTTGCTTCTTGAACTCTCCAGCTGTCAGGTGCCCTTTGGTAAGGCAAAACCAAAAAGAAACCAAACTCACTGCCACCAAGTTGGATCCAACTCATAGTGACCCCTCCTTGGGTTTCTGAGGCAGTATCACTATGGAAGTAGATTGCCCAACCTTCCTTCCAAGGAGTGGCTGGAGGGTTTGAACCGCCAGCCTTCTGGTTAGTAGTCAAATGCCTTAGACACTATGCAACCAGAGCTCCCTTGGTAAGACAAGGAAGTAGCAATTCACATAATGTAGTGTCTTTAAAAGGAGCTCTTGTGGTATAGTGGGTAAGGCATTTGGCTGCTAACCAGTAGATCAGTGGTTCAAACTCACCAGCCACTCTATGGAAGGAAGATGAGGTAATCTACTTTTGTAAAGCTTTACAGCCTTGGAAACCTAACGGAGGTCACTATTAGTTGGAATCAACTCAATGGCAGTGAGTTTGGCTTGGATTGATTTAGTGTCTTTATGGACACAGTATAAAGCCTCCCAACTATCTTTTTCCAGGCATAGAAAAGAAATCCCCACCAACACAAAATAAAATTAATTCCACATGTCATGAGTTTATTGTTATCTGGAAATGCAATATAAATAAAAGTTATATATTAAACATTAGAGGAGCTCTGGTGGCGTAGTGCCTAAGGCATTTGACTGTTAACCAGAAGGCTGGTGGTTCAAACCCACCAGCCACTCCTGGGAAGGAAGATTGGGCAATCTACTTCTGTAGTGATGCTGCCTCGGAAACCCAAGGACGGGTTGGTATGAGTCGGATCCGTCTCGATGACGGTGAGTTTGTTTGTTTGTTTAATATTAGAAGCTCTGTTGCCATAGTGCCTAAAGCATTTGACTTCTAACCAGAAGGCTGGCAGTTCAAACCCACCAGCCACTCTTCAGAAGGAAAATTGGCCAGTCTACTTCCATAGTGACACCACCTCAGAAGCCCAAGGAGGGGTTGCTATGAGTTGGATCCGACTCAACAGCAATGAGATATTTTTTTAATTAAACATTTTAAAAATATTGCCTGGTGTTTAGCTAATTATTTAAAGTGAGTTCACCAATGTATCACTATTTGTTCTGGATGCAAATATTTGATAACTAGATATTAAGGAAGGATAGAAACTAATGCCTTTTTAGTTTCATAGAGTTCTGTCATTAATTAGAATATTTCTCATTTATTTTACACTTAACATTAGTAGAAATTACAAGTAGATGCAAAGACATATTGATTATATTTTAACTTTCATTTAGGAAGAAATTAAGACAAGAAATTCACCATCATCTCCAAAGGCATGCTCGAGTGCTGGCTCCTGTTTCTCAGAAGCGATAAGTACCAAAACTGACACCAAAACTGTTTGCATACCAAACTACCTGGATCAGGAAATAAAAGTAAGAGGCAGAATTATTAAATCCATAAGTAGAGAGGGCTGCGTGAACATACAAAAATGTCACATCACTAGCATCTTCATCTTTAAAATTCTTTAATGTTTTCTCACTGACAATGGGACTGATTAAAAACTGCTTAGCTTGATATTCGTGGGTGGTGCAGTTTGCACCTGACTACTGCCCTAAGAGTAGGATGTTTGAACCCACCCAGAGGCACTATGTAAGAAAGGTCTGGAGATCTGCTGTGGTAAAGACTGTTGTTTTCGTTAGGTGCCTTGAGTTGGTTCCCACTCATAGTGACCCTATATACAACAGAACAAACACACTTCCTGATCCTGTGCCATCCTTGCAACCTTCGCTCTGTTTGAGCCCATTTTTTGCAGCCACTGTGTCAATCCATCTCATTGAAGGTCTTCCTCTTTTTCTACAACCTTCTACTTTTCTGAACATTATGTCCTTGTCCAGGGACTGGTCCCTCCTGATAACGTGTCCAAAATACATGAGATAAAGTCTCGCCATCTTCACTCCTAAGGAGCTTTCTGTCTGTATTTCTTCCAAGAGAGATGTTCTGGTTATCTTGTGCCACTCTGACAGGAATATATACCACAAATGAGATGGCTTGAACAAACAGGAGTTTATTCTCTTACAGTTTAGGAGGCTAGAAGTCCAAGTTCAAAATGCCAGGCTCTAGGGGCTGTGTGAAAGCCCCTCGACCTTGGGCTTCAGCTCTGCCTCTTGCTCCTGGCCCACTGAAGGTAGAGGCATCTCTTCACTCAGGCAACTACTGGCTGCTGAGGCTAACAAGCCCAAGGTCTACAAATAAAATGGCACAGTCCCGATGTTACCAAACCACACAGCAGGCCATTGATTGAAGTTCATTGAATGTCCCAGGATCGATCGGCAGAGCATGGCAGGCTGCTGAACAATGACCTGGCTACATGCAGGGTTCAAGCATGCCATAAGCTAGAGACCATTCCCAAAGTGGTTTCTTATATATGGGAAGCAGACCATATACCCAAAGCAGCTACTCAGCTGCTCCAATAGATTCTACCATGGAGTTTATTACCAGTCTCACCATGAGGAATAACTATGTTCAGCTGCCCAGGCACTCAACCAGGCCCAGCCAAGTTGACACACAAACTTAACCACCACAATAGATTTGTTCATTCTTCTGGCAGTTCATAGTATATATTCGATATTCATCATCAACACCATAATTCAAATGCATCAATTTTTCTTCAGTCTTCCTTATTCATTGTCCAGCTTTCACATGCATATGAGGCAATTGAAAATACCATGGCTTGGGTCAGGCGCACCTTAGACCTCAAAGTGTCATCTTTGCTATTTAACACTTTAAAGAGGCATTTTACAGATTTGCCCAATGCAACACGCCATTTGATTTCTTGACTGCTGTTCCCATGGGTGTTTACTATACATCCAAGTAAAATGAAATCCTTGACAACTTCAATCTTTTTTGCATTTATCATGATGTTGCTTATTGGTCCAATTGTGAGGATTTTTATTTCTTTATATTGAGGTGTAATCGATATCGAAGACTATAGACTCTGATCTTCATCAATCACTGTTTCAAGTCTTCTTTACTTTCATCAAGCAAGGTTGTATCACCTGCATATCACAGGTTGTTAATGAGTCTTCTTTCAATTCTATTGTGTTCTTCCTATAGTCCAGCTTCTGGGATTATCTGCTCAGTTTACAGATTGAATAAGTATGGTGTAAACATAGAACTCTGACATAAACCTTTCTTGATTTTAAACCATGCAGTAGTATCCCCTTGTGCTGGTTGAATGACTACCTCTTGGTCTATGTATAGGTTCCTCATGAGCACAATTAAGTGTCTTGAATTCCATTCTCTGTAATATTAACCATAATTTGTTATGATCTACACAGTCAAATGCCTTTGCATAGTCAATAAAACACAGGGAAACATCTTTCTGGTATTCTCTGCTTTCAGTGAAGATCCATGTGACATCAGCAATGATATCCCTCATTCTACATCCTCTTGTAAATCTGACTTGAGTTTCTGGCAGTTCCCTGTTTGTAAAATTACAGCTAAGAAAACCCTGAGGAGCTCATTTCTACTCTGTAACACATGAAATCTCCATGAATTGGAATCAACTCAACGACAACAGCTTTTTTTTTTTCTTCTTCTCCTTGATATCCAAAGCCTGCTCCTATTTTTATTTCTACTCTTACTATTCCTTCAAATCCTATTACTCTCACATAAACACTACCTATGATTTAGACATAATGAATGTTTGGTGTTTGCCAAATAAACCCAGGCCTATTTTTTCATTAGGCTACTTTTGTCATCTTCCAATTAATTGCTTGAGAGACAAAACTTTTATCCTCTTGCTACCACCTATATATTTTCTTTACATATTTTAAGCCAGAGATTCCTCCACTCAAAATTCATCTCTCTCTCTTATTTGTGGAAATTGCTTCCTCAGGACCTCTCTGCCTAGTTATAAACTGGGTCAGATTAATAATAATGTCACATTAGCCCACTGGACGTTTCTACCCAATCATAGTTATCTCTGAGTATAAGAATAAATCATCATCTGCCATTTTTTTTTTTTTTTTTTTTTTTGCAGATCTGTATATAACTGGTATTTCCCAACTCAAACTGTTCAGAACAAACAGGGTGAAAACACTATAATGATGGTTTTATTGTTGTTAGGTTCCTTGGAATTGATTCCAACTAATAGCAATCCCATGTGCTCCACGGTATTTTCT